CCATCCACTAAAGCCAGTGATGATGAAATCGAAGAATGCTATCAACTTCTTCAGTCTGAAATTGATCAAACATGAAATCAAGATGATTGGGATGTGGAGGTTGGAAACAAAGGGGAAGGATCAGTAATTGTAAAATATGGCTTTAGTGATAGAAATGATGCTGGAGATTGCACGATAGAATTTTGCAAGACCAATGTAAATACCTTTTTTTAAAACAACATAAAAGATGACTATGTACATGGACTTCACCAGATGAAATAAACAGAAATAAAATTGACTACATCTGTGGGAAGAGATGGTGGAAAAGCTCATTATCATCAGGCAAAAACAAGGCCGACTGACTGTGGAACAAACCATAAATTGCTCATATGCAAGTTCAGGCTGGAGCTGAAGAAAAATTTAAAAGTCTATGAGAGCCAAAATATGGCCTTGAACATATTCCAACTGAATTTGGAGACCAACTCAAGAACAGATTTGATGAATTAGACTCTAGTAACCGAAGACAAGAAGAACTGTGGGATTGACATCAAGAACATCATAAGGAAGAAAGCATAAGGTCATTTAAAAGACAGAAAAAAATGAAAAGACCAAAACGGATGTCAGAAGAGACTCTGAAATTTGCTCTCTACCATAAGGAAGAACTGAACAGAAAATGCCAAAGGGCAGCTCAAGAAGGCAAAGTATTATAATGAAATGTGCAAAGACCTGGAGTTAGAAAACCAAAATATGCTCAGCAATTCTCAAGCTGAAGGAAGTGAAGAAAAAAATTCAAGACTCTACTTAAAATGTTGAAGGATTCCATAGGCAAAATATTGGAAGATGTAGAAAACATAAAAAGAAAATGCAAGGAATACACAGAGTCATTATATCAAAAAGAAATGCTCGATGTTTAACCATTTCAAGAGGTAGTATATGACCAAGAACCAGTCATACTGAAGGAAGAAGTTCAAGCTGTACTGAAGATATTGGCAAAGAGCAAGGTTCTTGGAATTGATGGATTATAAATTGAAATCTTTTTCACTGGAGGCACTCACTGTTCTGTGCAAGAAATTTTGAAGACAGCTACCTCTCCAACTGATCGGAAGAGATCCATATTTGTGCCCATTCCAAGAGATATGACTCAATGGAATGCAGAAGTCATCTATCACACGAAAGTAAATCATGTAGAAGATAATTGAAAAATCTCTGCAACAGTGCATTAACAGGAAACTGCCAGAAACTCAAGCTGGATTCAGAAGAGGATGTGAAACGAGGGATATCATTACTGACATCAGATGGATCTTTGCTGAAAGCAAAGAATACCAGAAAGATGTTTATCTGTGTTTTATTGACTATGTAAAGGCTTTCAACTGTGTGGATTGTGACAAACTATGATTAACATTGGGAAGGATGGATATCCCAGAACACTTGATTGTGTTCATGAGGAACCTGTACATAAACCTAAGAACAGTATAAGGTGATACTGCAGGGTTTAATCAGGAATGGTGTGCACCAGGGCTGTATTCTGTCACCATATTTATTCAGTCTGTATGCTGAACAAATAATCTGAGAAACTGGATTATATGAAGAGCATGGCATCAGAATTGGAAGGGGACTCATTAACAACCTATGATATGCAGATGACACAACTTTGCTTGCTGAAAGTGTTGTTGTTGTTGTTAAGTGCCGTCGAGTTGGTCCTGACCCATAGCAACCCTGTATAGGGTTTCTGAGGAGCAGCTGGCAACCTTGAATTGCCAACTTTGCAGTTCATACAGCTTTGTAGTCTGGTGCTTTAACCCACAGTGCCACATCAGGACTCTTGTTGAAAGTGTTGTTGTTGTTGCTGTTAGGTGCCATCAAGTGGGTACTGACTCATAGCGACCCTATGCACAGTAGAACGAAACACTGCTCAATCCTGGGCCAACCTCACTACTGTTGCCACGCTTGAGTCCATTGATGCTGCCACTTGGCCAATCCATCTCATTGGGGGTTTTCCTCTTTTTCTCTGACCCTCCCTCCACCTTACCAAACATGACATCCTTTTCCAGTGACTGGTTCCTCCTGACAATGTGCCCAAAGTATGAGAGACGAAGTTTGGCCATCCTGGCCTTCAAGGAGCACTATGGCTGCACTTCTTCCTAAACGGATCTATTGGTTCTTTTGGCAGCCCATGGCACTTTCAGCATTCTTCTCCAACACCATAACTCAAAAGCATCAATTCTTCTACGGTCTTCCTTATTCACTGTCCAGCTTTCACATGCATATAATGTTATAGAAAATACCATGGCTTGGGTCAGGCGCACCTTAGTCCTCAAGCTGACATCTCTGCTCTTCTACACTTTTAAAAGGTCTTGTGCAGTCAAAGCCCAATGCTTGACTGCTGCTTCCGTGAGTGTTGATAGTTGATCCAAGAAGAATGGAGTCCTTGACAGCTTCAATCTTTTCTCCGTTGACCAGAGTGTTGTTTATTGGTCCAGTGGTAAGGATTTTTGTTTTCTTTACATTAAGATGTAATCCATACCGAAGGCTGTGCCTAAAATACTTACTGATGATCAAAGACAGCCTTCAATATGGATTGAACAATAAATAACATCATGATAAATGGAGAAAAGATTGAAGTTGTCATAGACTTTATTTTGCTTGGATCCACAATTAACACTCATAGAAGCAGCAGTCAAGAAATCAAATGATGTATTGCACTGGGCAAATCTGCTGCACAAGGCCTCTTTAGATCATTGAAGAGCACAGATGTCAGCTAAAGGACTAAGGTGCGCTTGACCCAAGCCATGGTATTTTTAATTGCCTCATGTTGTTAAGTGCTGTTGAGTCGGCTTCGACTCATGGCGACCCTATCTGTATAGGGTTTCCAAAGCACCAACCTTGTGGTTCAAACCAACCTTGCGGTCTAGGATTTATCCTATAGCGTCACACCAGGACTCCTGAAATTGCCTATGCATGTGAAAGCTGGGAAATGAATAAGGAAGACTAGAAAAATTGATGCATTTGAGTTATGCTGTTAGAAAAGAACATTGAAAGTATCATGGACTGTCAGAAGAACAAACAAATCTGTTTGTTGAATGCTCCTTAGAAGTCAGGATGGCAAGATTTCGTCTCTCATAGTTTGTACATATTATCAGGAGGGACCCATCCCTGGAGAAGGACATTCTGCTTGGTAAATTGGAGGGTCAGCGAAAAAGAGGAAAACCCAGTGAGATGGATTGACAGCAGCAATGACGCAGGCCAGGGCAATGTTTCATTTTGTTGTGCATAGGGTTGCTGTGAGTCGGAACCAACTCCAAGGCACCTAACAACAATTCTGCGTTTCAAGTGCCTTTAAAACATTATGCAGATGACTGTATTTGTTATTTTTAAAATGTGAAAAATAACTCGTTTGAAAACTGTGTCAGTTGATGTTAAGATCCAGTTTTTTAAACTTGTAAATCCTGTTTATCCGGATTGCTTTTAGATGAACATTTTCAGAGGCATCTTCCTGTTGGGAGTTTAAATAAAGATGATTCTGATTGCCTCAGGGTGGATCCAAACCTCAACTCTTTTTATTGTTTTTGCTTTCTAATTGCCTTCTGCCTTTAGAGACTCAAGCCCCAAACAACCCTCCTGGGAGCATCCAAATCTCCCAAACTCCAATCACACACACACAAAATGGATTTTTTTCCTCATCCTGCGGGTGTCCAGTGACTCGAAGAACTGGAGAACTTTCTAGGAACTGCGTGCGTGGTGATCATTTGAAACAGGAAAAAAACATTAAGTTTAAAAAGAAAAATGTCTACCTACTTGGATACCAGAAATGTAATGAATAAGGAATATTGTTGTTGTTAACTGCTGTGCAGTCAGTCTGGTGTGGCGCTGGAGGATAAACACTGGACTGCTAACCATAAGGTCGGTAGTTCAAACCCACCAGTTACTCCTCAGAAACCCTGTACAGGGTCGCTATGAGTTGGAACCGACTCCACGGCACACAGTAACAACAACATAGGGTTTCCAAGGAGTGGCTGGTGGGTTTGAACCGCTGACCTTGCCTTTAGCAGCCCAGTGCTTATCCTACAAATTCACTTTAAAACTTCTATTTATTTTTCTATGAATCTTTATCTTTCTTGGTCAATGCTGTGTGCAAGAAAGTCATATTTCTTTTCTTCTTGAAAGTCATATTTCTGATCTTATTTCTGTAACTGATTCGCAGATTCGCCCCATCCCCTATGGCCCTTGGGCATTAATCTTTTTGTATATAAAAAGGTGTCTTCAGGGAC